TCCTAAAAAATAGACACTTAAGATTTCACCAAAAGAGTGAAAAGGGAGCCCACAAAATGGGAAAGATGTTTTTGCAATGACATATCTGACAAGGGACTAATCTCTAAAATTTATAGTAAACTACATCACCGTTACAAGTTTTAGAGATTATTCCCATGTCTCACACTTTGGACATGTTATCAGGAGGGACTAGTGCCTAGAGAAGGACATCATGCTTGGTAAAGTGGAGGGTTAATTAAAAAAAAAGGGAGAACCCTAACAAGATGGATTGGCACAGTGGCGTCAGCAATGGGCTCAAGCTTAACAACAATTATGAGGATGGCACAGGACTGGGCAGTGCATAAGGTCATTATACACCTAACAACAACACCTCTACAAGAAAAAGACAAATATCCTGATTGAAAAATGGGCAGAAGACATGAACAGACACTTCTTCAAGGAAGGCATTCAAGCAACCACAAACATGAAATATTCACAATCATTAGCCATTAGAGAGGTGCAAATTAAAATAACAATGCCAGCATTAATAGAAAAGTTAAAAAACAAAACAATAAATGCTGGTGATGGTGTGGAAAGACTGGAACCCTCCTACATTGCTAGTAAGACTGTAAAATGGTTTAGCTGCTCTGGAAAACTGGTATGACGCTTCCTTAGAAAGTTGGAAATAGAAATACTGTATGACCCAGAAATCCCTCTATTTGGTATATATCCACAAGAAATAAGAGCCAAGACGCAAGTAGATATATGCACTCTGATGTTCATTGCAGCACTAATCTTAATAGCAAAAAGATGGAGCTGGCTTAAATGCCTAACAATGGAAAAATAGATAAATGAACTTTGATACACACACACACAGTGAAATACTATGCAATGTTGAAAAATAGTGATGAATCTGCAAAACACCTCACTCATAACATGGCTAAATCTAGAAGACATGTTGTGTGAAATTAGTGAACCATAAAAAGACAAATATTGTATGAGACCAACTATTGTATAAACTCAAGGAAATATTTTTATGCTAACAGAAGCATCCATGGATGGTTACCAGGGTTGGGGGGAAATAGAGAATAATTCATTGGCTAGAGGGTAGACACATAGTAATTCAGGTGACGGGAAGGGCAATATACAAGAAGAGGAAGGTTAGTAGAAGGATCATGAGAACAGGTGAAGACATAGGAAAATATACAAGGGCTAAAAAGGATAGAGGTGAATACTGACATATACACAACCTTGGAACAGTAGTGCTATGAGTCGGGACTGACTCAAGGCACTTAACAACATGGACAGAGACACAGGCTGAATAGGTATGGGAGAAAGAGTGGGTATATACCCACAAATATATAAGAGTTTGAAAGAAGACGTTTGTACATGGGAATTTACCTTTCCTGCGAGCATAGCTATGAATGTGGTGAAGCATACAGCAGGAAAAATGATGCCAACTTCTTAGATAGTATCAAACATCTTAAGGCAATGAGTTGGTGGGCCTGGGGCCTCAGCACCTGGTGGACACCATGGCCAATTGGTACAATATAGTCCACCAAGTCACTGTTCTGCAACCTCCTTTGGTTAGTTGTGTCTGGTATTTAAAAGCCCATGAGTAGTCATCTAAGGTGCACCTATTGGTCTCTCCATGTGCAGAAGAAAGAAGAGGGATGAGAATTGAAGATAATTGGAATCAATTAGTCCAATGGATTTTGAGACCAGAAGGACTAGATGGTGCCCAGCTACTATTAACAACTGTTCTGAAAGGGATCACATTAGAAGGTCCCACATAGAGTGGGAGAAAATGTGGAATAAAACTCAAAATTACTTAACAACAAAACAAAACACCTAGCTCACTGATTAGAAAGAGACTGGAGGAACCTGAAACTATGGCCCTTGAACACTTTTTAGGCCTGGAAAGTAACTCACCCTTGTGGCCCAGTTTCAGCCAAGCAGGAGATAGATAAGTAGCAGATACAACAATACTAGTAAGGTAGGCTTACCTTGCAATGATCAGTCATTCAAAATCAAAAGGACAATATTTGCCTGAGGACAAAATTGAGACGGAATGGGAAGGTGAGTGGAGTGGAAATAGGAACCACAGGGACGAAGCGGGATAATTATTGTTGCATAAAGGGGATTGCAATCAATTCTAAAAGCATATATTGAGTACATGCTATATTGTTTTTATTTTATTTTATTTATTTATTATTTTAATGTTTTATTGAAAATTATATGATAGTTTACATGGGAGAACTTTAGTTTTACATTCATTCCATCGTATATCATCTCACTGCCATGGTTCCAATCCCCTCCATGCATCATCGACCACTCAAAGGGTATATCCCAGAAATCCGCCCTCTACACTTCCCCCTCCTCCCCCCAGTTTTCGGCCCACAGTTCCTTTCCCTCTCTGGGTCCAAAGTCCCCAGTCGCTTCATCACTCCACATCATCATCTCTGTCTTCATCTCAGGCATCTCGGTTTCTCTGGGTAGGGTCCCGCTCTCGGCTCTTCTCTGTTGATGGTCCCAGAGGCCTCCACTCCTGTCCTGGAGAATTAATCACTCCCTTTCTTGTTACAAAACTTCTACTTTTGCATTTCCAACCCTCATAATCTGTCCTGATAAGCATTATTCCCTACAGTATCACGAGTTACCCATCTATATCTCCTTTCATCAGCTCCGCCCAGACAGATTGAATAGTACCTACTGGAGATTCTGCCTTCCGCCATGTTCCCTAGCACCAGGTTCCCTCTTGAAAGCTTGTAAGCCAGTCACTTCTTGCCTTTGTAGTTCCCCCCGCCCTCCCCATTTGCATGCTAATTCTTTTAAAAATAATATTAATAATAATAAAAACAACCTATGGAACACTTTGTAACATGGATTAATCTGGAGGTCATTTTCTTGGGTGAAATAAGTCAGCTACAAATGGACAAGTGTTGTTTAAGCTTGCTATTATTAAGAAAAAAAAAGTTTCAAAATGATAAGAGTCATTCTTAGATGTTTAGCGGCAGGTACAGGACTTGAGTCATTGACTGGAGGTTTGTTGTTGTTAAGTGTTGAGTGTTGTCGACTCACAACGACCCTGTATAGGGTTTCCAAGGATTCGGGAGCAGAAAGCCTCATCTTTCTCCCAAGGAGTGACTGGTGGACTTCAACTGCTAACCTTGTGGTTCGCAGTCCAGTGATTATCCTAAACAGCCACACCAGGATGGGCTTCAAAAATTCTCTTAATTCCATTTTCCCATGAATTATTTAAAGTCCTCCTATATGCTTTAAATGGAGTCCTGGTGTGGTGCTGTGGGTTAATGCGCCAGACTGCAAAGCCATTTGAACTGCAAGGTCGGTGGTTCAAGCTCACTAGCTGCTCCTTGGAAACCCTATACAGAGTCGCTATGGGTCGGAATTGACTCAACAGCACTTAACAACAACAACATATGCTTTAAATATGTTTTCTAGTTTGTAGCCTCTCTTTTCATTTCAGTATCATTTGGAGTACAGGATTATAGTGGAAGCAGTGTAAGATGGTTGGATTCTAGATGTATGTTGAAGGTACAGGATATGCTGATGTATATTGTGTTTGGAATATGAGAGAAATAGGGGACTTTGGGAAATAGGGAACC